GGCAGTCTGTGTATTGGGCCTGTGAACATAACCCTATTCTGTCTCGGTTGTTCACTGAATATTCCATGTAATTTGTGATTGGACTACTAAATCAACTAGGGCCAGTCTCCCGTCTGCCGCAATCATTCTGTAACCCCTATGTGATATCCGAGTAAAGTTGCAATTCCAAACTAACAGAAATACTATATATTTTATACTGTATAAGTCCCTAAAACTGGGCAGAATGTGCATGTCCCAAAGGTGAAATGTTCCACATTTTATTTCAACTTTGTCTTGAATATGATTTTTTACACATTTTCTGCACATGTTTTTTCATTAGGTAACCACAAGACCTGCTTTTTTATATTTTTCCTTATTAAATACCAAAACATATAATTGTAGTCTCACAATTATATACTTTACATGGTATCTAGTAAGTGGAACCATTGGGATAGATGCAGTATAAAGTGGTTTGTTACTGGGCTACTAAAACCATCAAACAGATTTTTTGTGGGTTATTTTAGGAATAAAAAGCACTGATTGTATAGGTGGAGAAATAGTCAGACTTACTAGTATAAATAGTATATATGATCTCTGCAGTAGAAGTTTTTAAAAGAACATAACTGCATTTCATGCAACAATGTGTAGTCGGGGAACAAGAACTGATGTTTCAGAAATATAATTAGACACTAAGTGTATAGGGAGTAAATGTTAGATTTGGGGAAAAGAACATTTGAAATTATTTAAAGATGCTTATAGTTTTAAATCCTTTGTCAATTGCTGCCTTTTAATATGCTGATTGAAAGAAAATGGGATTTTTTTAAAAAAATTAATCAGTTTAAATGTGATGATATTTTAGAAAACTACTCGGTATACAGAAGAAAAGTGAAACACGTAGAAAAAAATTATCACCATAGAAAAAAATGAGATATACAATAATTATCACCATAGAAAAAAGAGATATACAAAAATGATCATGTCAGTTAATACTTAGTTGGGTAACCTTTAGCATGAATTACGGCCTTACAACGTCTTCCCATGGAGTGAACCAAGTTCTTTAGTTCTGCAGCTGTTATAATGTGAAACCAAGATTGAATTATTGCTTCTATTAACTGGGTTTTATTGCTGGGTTGCTTCTGGCTAACAAGTTTCTTTAGTTGGCTCCATAGATTTTCAGTTGGATTAAGGTCTGAGCTATTCCCAGGCCATTCCAGCAGTGGAATATGATTGTCTTGAAAGCACTTTTTGCACACAGCAGCAACATGACATGGAGCTGAATCCTGTTGAAATATAAATGCTTCATCGTCTTGGTAAAGATCATGTGCGGAAGGCTTCAGTTTGGGCTCAAGTATTTCATTAATGTATTTTTGGCCATTTATATTCCCATTAATCACATAAATTCTGCCCACACCTTTTGATATCATACAACCCCAGATCATAACAGTGACTGGGTGTTTCCCGGTACATGTAATGCAATCAGGATGCAAACCTCCTCTGATTCTTCTCCTTACATATTTTATGCCATCACTACCAAACAGGGAGATCTTGGTCTCATCACTCCAAATAACACTGTCCCATTGTTCCTCTGTCCAGGTAACATGGGTTTTAGTCCAGTTTAGCCTTTTCAACCTTTGTTTGAGAGATAAAAGTGGCTTTTTTCATGGAATTCTAGATTTTAGGCCAAATTCCTGCAGTCTGCACCGAACAGTCCTTGCACTCAACTTCACATTGCATTGTGCCATTTCATCTTGTATACACCCAGATGATTTTCTTCTATCACGTAGGCACAGTCTCTTAATTCTTCTATCATCACTTGCTGTTGTTCACCTTTTCCTGCCTTTACCAGTGTGGTTTTGTAGTGACTGAGTCTCCTTATACCTCTTCAAAAACTTAGAAATGCCACCTTTGGTTAAGTTTCCACCAATTTTTCTTCTAATTTCTTTATAACTGTAGCCTTGTTCACTTAATAATACTATTTTACATCGCTTTCTGGGTGACCAGTCAACTCTTTGCACCATTACTTTAATTTTACTACGTTTTACAAGCTCACTAAATGAAAGAACACAAAAAAACCCAACCAACTTGATAGCGATCACATAACACACTGACAAATGTCTTCTCAGCTTCAATACATGACGTCAATAACTGAATCCTACTGTGATCTGATTGGCTCATTGCCAAAACAAGATGACACTCATGCTCACTGGCTACAATCAGATGAAGGAAAGCTATCTGATATCAACCTAAGCAAGTTGTGCTTCCTTTTTCTGGTTATTTGGCTATAATTTTTCATAGAATACAGATAATTGAACAAACTTTGTTGCATTACATTTTTGATTAAATTATCTTTCCATTGATATATAATTTTATGGTACTACTCCAAAAAAAGTGGTTTTATTAGCCATCAAACCTCAAATGTACACTTTTCCTAAAAGGTTTCCACAATTTTGGCCACTACTGTAGACTATCTTGGGTGTAATGAATAAAATGCATAACTGGTTTTTTTTAACTGCACAAAATTATCTAGTGTGAAAAATTCATGCCAGTTCTGGATACAATTTAAGAATTGCACTTTTCATAGGTATATTTTCCTGTGCACTCAGATTCATTCAGATCATTTTGCTATTATTGAATTATAATCATTAATTAATAGGTTGCTATATAATTTCATATGCCATTTTTCTCTATAGATTTGTTGTTTCTTTGTATTTGTACATGTTGACTAGATGTGCCCTTAGAAAAAGCAATCTAACAAAGATTGTATTTATTTCCGTATTTATAGAAAACAAAATTTATTTGGGGAATCTCATTTTGATGTACATGTTTGTCGCCAGATAATTCCATGATAAAGAAGTTAGCAGGGAGGTAATTCATGTTCTTATGAAAAAAATTATAAGGAGCCCTGTACTTGTTTGAAGCCTTAGACCTGCAAAAACAAAGCAAAACAAAAGGATTATGTTTAAAGATGGAAAGAATAAAGAGATCAGGTGTTGAATATAGTCCATGAAATTTTATTTGTCTTGCATATAATCAATTCTAAATATATTTTACAAGGCACATATAAACAGCAGGACTATAAAATTTATGAAATGTTGTGTATGGTGTCACTGTTTATGAGGAGGAAGGGAATTTGTATTCTGTTGAAATAAACTTGAGGGGAAATTTATTTTGAAAGCATTCTGAATTCTGAAGCAAAATTGAGATGAAGGGGAATATCCAGCCACTTCTCTCTTATATATGGTCTGTTTTCATCTGGCCACTGCGGGAGCAGCAATTATACAGGAGTGGCAAAATTTTAATACTTTTCTACGAGTGATTGGAATTGGACATATTTTATTACTAGGTTGTATTCTGGCTCAATTGGAAAAGAAGGTTATATTGTTCAGTCTTGCTATATCCCTCCCTTAATAAATGTATATTTAACAATGTCTGAAGCATATGAAGTGATAATAACTAAATCAATACCTCCTTCATTGATTGTCCAGGATCTCTTCAGCGTGACGCACACAGCACTGGAGTAATTTTCCAGCTAACTAGCACCCTGATCTACAGTCCTGCTATTGATTGACCATTGTATCAGACAGGCACTGAATGGTGTTGCATATGCTTCTATTTAGCCTTCTGATTCATTCGTTTATTACTGGACAAGAGTGATCATTTGAGAGACTTCCTGAAATTGTCCAGTGAGAGTTGGACTGCTAGGATTCCTATAAACAAGCTTTTTCTATTACTGCCTGCTGCTTTCTTTCCAAGCTTCAGTTGCCTTTGGCAGGACTTTCTATCATAGATGCTATCCAGCTTAACTTTCTATCAGTTTTCATTTATTTATTTGTTAATCTTCTATATTGTTTATTAAAATAACCCAGACATGTTGTATGCAATAAATCAATGAAAATACAATAAAACAAACTTCCATAAAATAAACACTGTACTGTCTGTAAACTTTTAAAAGTTACTTACTGAAGGAAAAGTAATATACAATTTATTCCAGCAGAGCTGAGCTCTCTTTGTAGTTTTACCTGCTGAGACACTTTGTTCTTAGGATAATCTCAATTTAGCACATCTGTCCCTTCAATGTCCCATTTGGCTGCAGCAGTTACTATACCATAGAGGCCAACTATTAGGGGATAAAATAAACTTGCCAAGGTAAAATGTATATATGCCAAATATCTGTTTTACTTAAACTAGTTGGTTAGTGCAAACTTAAATTTCTGCAGAAAGTTGATGTTTTTTAAACTGTATAGGCACAGTAAGGATGAGCCTAAAGAATTGCATCCCCACTCCTTATGTGGACTTATAAGAAACCCTTGTTTTGGATTACTTGTTCACTTGAACCATGACAGAGTTGCAGTTATTAATATATTAGACAATGGCTATTCTTTTTATTCCCTCTCTATCTTTTAAACCTAATATATTTGCAGCGCATGGATTTACCCTCTGCTAGATAAGTTTCCTTCCTTTTTTATGAAGTGGAAGTTCTTCTTAGAGATTTGCTCTTAATAGTTTAGCATCCCATTGGTTAACTATTGCAAGAAAGTGCTTGACACTTACATATCAAACAATCCTTTTTTTAATGCTTGTGGTGAAATCAGAACTTTCAGAAAATTTCTCTTGTGGATGTGATACTGCTTTTTGTGAAGTGTTCACGTGCATAAGGGTTCTGCTTTTAATGTCAAATTAGCATCAGCTTGGCAAAAAGGAAGCATCATACGAAATTTATCAGTATTCTTCTTCCAACTTACCCCATTCCAGAGTACAGTACAGTATTTGCCCACGAGTTCATATATTGTCTATTTTGCTCCTTGACCTTTGCCGTTAAATCTTCTCCAATGTTGGCTGCCTGAGCTGATTCTCAAGCCTACATACTGTATAAGCTGATTTGATTCTATCTGTTTAATCACTTCTTAAGAGCCAAGACGTACCCTAACTCTATGTGGTTTGCCTACTGCACTCAACACATAATGAAATCAGCGAAATGTTTCTAAGAACTCAGCCAGCCCTGACTTTGTCATCTATTTTAGGATTACAGAAGACTCGGCAGTGACAACATTTGAGGCGCTAAAGGCTCGCGTTCGTGAATTAGAAAGGCAGCTCTCCCGTGGGGACCGCTATAAATGTCTCATTTGCATGGTGAGTAGTTTGCCAGTTCTGGTCATGAATGAGGAAATGACACTATACCTCTACTTTGGCTGTTGCAAAATGGCCCAGTTGATAGGACAAACTGCAGCATTATCCACTATTGCTTGACTCTGGAGAAAAGCACTTTTTTTCTTTCTCTGAAGTTAGTTTCAGTGTATCTGTTATAGTATGACATTGCCTTTGCCTAATGTATGGTTTTTTTGCTTTTATAAACTATATAGTTGTTGATCCTGTAAAACATATATTTATGTTTTTCTTCCTGATTTACAAAATGTAACTTAAATCATTTTAAAAATTTGATTAATGCTTAAGGCTTCAATGCAGACCATTTACAAAATTATTTAAAATAGTCCTTGATCATGGTGGCTGTGGATTATGGGAGTTGACATCACAATATTTGGAGAGTAGGAGCTGTAAATAAAGAGCACCTGACTGGTATAGCTTATTATTGAAGTGCTGAAGCTCCCTCTAGTGGATCAGAGTCTGCAGATCTCTGGATATCACTTTGTACATGTACAGTTTTACAACACAGGTTTTTTTTCATTCTAAGCTATAGCTTTAGTTTAGGAAATACCTTTTTCTGGGACACAGAATACAATTAAGTCTGTATGGAAACTATTATCTCCTCACATATCCCCAATGGAATGAATGTCAGGTGCCTTTTAACATTTACCTTTATCTCTCTAGACAGCAAGCATATATTATATTTGGCAGATATGTGTGTTTGAATGTTTGTAACAAATTTACTACAAGTATTTGTTATAGTATCTTAATGTGAAATTAGTCCAATGATTAATCAATAAAGTCAGTTGATTTTTATGCATTTTTCACAACTGAAGTTTAAAAGTCACCTTTAATTTGTTTCTAACCTACATTTAAGCATGCAGCACTATATTGTGTCTGTTCTCTTTGAGGCATAATCAAAGATATATATTTTGCCTTTTATATTTACAAATGTGCATCAATTCACAGATGCATGTAAAATCAAGCAATGGTATGGAGGTCAAATGAGAAAAAACAATCAGAGATATGTTGCCCTCACTGCATTCTGCCCTGCCCTGCATAATTCCAGATTCAGTTTTATGGTACGTGATGCAGTAACTTTACTTTATTTCTATAGGACTCATATACAATGCCCCTGACCTCCATCCAGTGCTGGCATGTGCACTGTGAGGAATGCTGGCTGCGGACTCTGGTAAGTCTCTTAATTTCTTATGTGGTAGCTTATATTAGATTCTTTTTTTCCCTAGTTGAAATTACAGCTACATGAAAATCCTCTTCAAAATACTATGCCTCTGTTTTATTTAATGGCAATCATTCTCAATGCTACCTTCTTTTGCAGTGACAGCTTTCTGTCAAAGAGCCTAGATTCTATCGTAATAGAAACAAATAGTTTACTTTTTTTCAAGGATGCCATTTGCCTGTTTTAAAAGAGGGGGGGGTTCAACAATAAGTTTTAAAAAATATGATTAAAGGTTCAATTGTTTATCTTATGTCTCACCTAGACTACTTCTGAGTTCCATCTCTGGTGCATGTACCAACAGTTTTAGAGCATACAGATTTTCCATCTAATCAGTAGATTTTTCGACTCTTCCTGTTTGTACTGTTGCACCCTCAGAGGTGGTTGGAGAACTATTCCATATTTCTAACAGTGCAGGCTGGCTGGGATGAGACTTTTATTTTATTTTATTTTTATTGTATTTTATTGTAAGGATTTATATGGCTACATAGAATAATTGTAGGTAGCTCACAAAAATCCATAAAACATAGTTAAAAATAAAGGTACCCTTCATTCATTCATTCATTCAACCATTCTACTAACTTTCTAAGTCACTCCAGTCTTCACTGACCTAAACTTTGCCGATCTTCATTCTATTTGGTTTGCAAATGAGCTGGACATATGATAGCAGCACAGTGTTAATGGGTCTTTCACATTTACATAGAGTGTAGACCTGTATGTTTTTAGCAGGATGGGCTTCACTTTGTATTCCTCTGACTATTCCATTCAGGGGCATGCAGATTGCAACTTTCCACTGGTATATGTTACTACAGGTAGTGTGAGAATTGTGAGAATCATAAGATTACAGTAGACCTCCCAACATGCCAGATCAAACATCCTTACAGCTCAACTCTCATCTTAGCCCGATGCTTGGAAGAAGAGCCAGATCTTCACAGCCCTTCAGAAGGCTAAAAGGGTAGTCATCCCTCTATCTCAAGTGGGAAGCTGTTCCAAAGGACTGGGATGGCCACCAAGAAAGCAAGCCTCCAAGGTCATATCAGATGGCAACATTTCAAGGAGGGGACTTGAAGCGCACCTACCCTGTCTAAACCAATAGGACTAGCAGATACCCTCAGGGAGAGGTAATCCTGCAAGTAACTGGCTCTGAGACTCTTAGGGAACTCTGTTCCCCTAAGACATAGTCGATTAGTTTTAATTGTGCTGTCATGCTTTTATTATCCATCTCTTCGTTTCCCCATCCTTTTGTAGAAAGCTTCTTTAAATTGGCTTTGCAGGATAGACTATTCTCCTTCAGTGAGTGTTGGGTATTCAGTTAATGTAGTGCAGGGGAGATTTGCAGCTACAGGTAGTAGAATTCATAATTCATATTATATGAGAATGTGAGAAAGTATGAATAAAATGTTTTTATATGAGTGAAAATGTGC